TTTCGAAGATCCCGTAGACATGATTTACCACCAACTGGGAGTCGCATTTGATTTCTATGACCTCGGAATCTAGTCCGCGGGCCAATTCGAGTCCTACAATCAAAGCTTCATACTCTACTTCGTTGTTAGTCAAATGGACCGTTCTTATGATCTGCCTTAGGGTTTCTCCCGAAGGCGTGGTTAATATTATGCCAAGCCCGGACCTCTTTACGTTGGAAACTCCGTACGTAAATTAGGTCCAAACTCTCGATGTCGATTCTGACATCACCACTGCTTCTTTGGTTGCCAGAGGCAACAATCCCGGACTGAAATCGGCCACAAAGTCGGCCAAAACTTGTGACTTAATCGTAGTCCTAGGTTTATACTCTATGTCGAATTCACTCATTTCGACGCCCCATTTGGCCAATATACCCGAGAGTTCAGGTTTGTGAAGGATATTCCGCAGGGGAAAGGTGGTCACCACAGCTATCGGGTGACATTGGAAGCAAGGCCTCAGCTTCCGAGCGACGACTACGAGAGCTAAGGCCAGCTTCTCCAAATGCGGGTAACGAGTTTCTGCTCTCGTTAAAATTCTACTAATGTAAGAAATGGGAGATTGCGTACCGTCATCCTCATGGACTAAAACGATGCTTACCGCTACTTTCGAAACTTCTAGTATAGATTAACAGTGTTTCACCTTCATTCGGTTTTGAAAGTAACGGAGGGCTTGACAAGTACCTTTTTAAATCTCTTAAAGCCTGCTGGCATTGCCGGGTCCATTCGAAGTTGTTTTTCTTATTGAGCAGCGCGAAGAAACGGTGGCATTTCTCTGATGACCGGGAAATAAACCTGCTCAAAGCGACCAATCTTCCTGTAAGCCTTTGAACTTCTTTCACGCTTGATAGCTGGTCCGGGATGTCTTCGATGGCTTTGATCTTATCGGGGTTTACCTTAATCCCCATTTGTGATACCAGAAATCCTAGGAACTTGCCGAAACTGACCCCAAACGTGCACTTATCGGGGTTAAGCTTCATGTTATGCTTCTTTAGGATGTCAAAAGTTTCTTGCAAATTCTTAAGGTGATCACTTGCATTCAAAGACTTAACAAGCATATCGTCTATATAAACTTCCATGGTTTTCCCTATTTGTTTTACAAACATCTTGTTTACGAGCTGCCGATAAGTGGATTCAACGTTCTTTAGCTCGAAGGGCATCCTATTAGAGCATTATGTGCCAAAATTCATTATGAACGAAGTTTTTTCCTGATCCTCTGGGTTTATCTTAATTTGGTTGTACCCGGAATAAACATCGAGGAAATTTATTAACTCGTGCTCGGCCGTTGCATCAATCATTTGATCGATGTTTGGCAGTGGGAACGAGTCCTTTGGGCACGCCTTATTCAAGTCCTTATAATATATGCACATGCGAAATTTATTGTTCTTCTTAGGAACTACTACTACGTTAGCTAGCCAGTCTGGATACTTTACCTCTCGGATCGAACCGATATCAAGTAGGCGAGTTACTTCTTCTTTGACGAATTTATTTCTGGCCTCTGCAATAGGGCATTTCTTTTGTCTTACCGGAGGGATGCTGGGATCCAAGCTTAACTTGTGTACGACCACTTCCGTCGGAATACCTGTCATATCCGTATGCAAACACAAAACAATCGCCATTAAATTTGAGAAATTCAATAAACCCAGACCTGAGCTCAGGGTAAGTCCTATCCCCAAATGGAATTTCCTCTCCAAGAACTTTTCAAATAACACGACTTGATCAAGCTCTTCCGTTGTGTACTTCGTTGCGTCCGTCTCTTCTGGTACCTGATAAGATTCTGGCACTTCTTCCCCCTGGTTAACTTCACTTGATTTGGGAGTAGGTGTCGGTTCCTGTAATTGCTATGCGGCATACTCCTTCCCTTTGCTACTGGAGATCGAAATCGCATTCATCTCCCTTGCCTCCAATTGATCGCCTTTAATCTGCTTAATCCCCTCGGGAGTTGGGAATTTCAGCAGCTGATGATACGTTAAAGGAACGACTTTCATCTCGTGCAACCACGGTCTTCCTAGAATAATGTTGTAACCTATATCACCGTCCACAATCTCAAAAAGAGTCGTCTTCATTACCCATTCGGCATTTATGGGCAACATGATTTCTCCTCGGGTTGTCACGCTCGCGAGGTTGAATCCGGCGAGGAGTTTTGTGGCCGGAATGATGCTTCCGGTAAGTTTGGCTTGTTCCAATACCCTCCATTGTATGATATTGGCCGAACTTCCTGGATCCACTAGAACACGTTTGATTTTAAAATCTAATACAATTAGAGAAATTACCAATGTGTCATTGTGCGGTAGCAACAATCCGTCAGCGTCCTCCTCCGTGAAAGTGATGTCGTCTTCAGCGACTTCCCGGAGTCTCTTGTTGTGGGTTACTGATACCTTCATCTCTTTCGTTGCCGAGAAGGTAACCCCGTTAATCTTGTTTCCCCCGAAAATCATGTTGATCGTCTGGCGCGGGGGTCTTCTCATGTTTTTGAGGGTTCCGCATTATCATAGTTGCGACCGTATTTGTTCTTGGCACGGTCACTTAAGAATTCCCTCATATGGCCATTTTTCAGTAGTGTTGCCACCTCTTCACGCAGATGTGGGTAGTCCCCAGTCCGGTGGCCATTCGTTCTGTGGTATTCGCACCACAAATTGGGGTCCCTTTGGCTGGGATCGGACTTCATCGGCTTCGGTAACCGTGCTTCTTCAATGTTCCTCATAGCCGATACCAACTCTACTACACCGACATTGAAGTTGTATTTTGATAGCATGGGATAAGAAGGATCCCGAGAACCTGACGTTTCTTTGTCTTGCAATGATCTGTTGTTCCAACCGCGATTAGTTCTTCTGTCGGTAATGAACTTGTCTGCCGACCGGAAACCTCTGCCATGTCCTTCAGCCCGTTCGTAGAGCAAAAACCGGCCCCTCGAAGACCGTCTATTTGTGTCGAAATCGTCTTTTGATTTTTCTTTATTCTTCTCCCGACCTTTTGCCGACTGTGGGAAGCCAATCTGATCATCTTCAATCCTTATCTTGGACTCGTATCGGTTGTGAACATCAGCCCAAGTCGTCGCTTGGAACTCAAGCAAGCTTTCCTTCAATTTTCGGGAAGCATCAGAACTTCTCGGATTCAGACCATTGGTGAATACTTCAGCTGCCCATTCATCTGGAACAGCCGTGAGCAACATTCTTTCCTTTTGGAATCGGGTGACGAATTCCCGTAGCAACTCGGACTCTCCTTGTGCAATTCCGAATATGTCGGCCTTTCGGGCCTACACCTTTCTAGCCCCGGCATAGGCCTTAGTAAAAGAATCTGCGAGCATCTCAAAGGAATCTATGGAATGCTCGGGAAACAACGAATACCACGTCAAGTCTCCCATTGTGAGGGTCTCTCCGAATTTCTTCAGGAAAACATATTTAATCTCGTGGGGGAGCTAAATCGATCCCCTTCACCGCCGTTGTATAGGTGGTAATATGCTCCTGAGGGTCTGAAGTCCCATCATATTTCGGCACGTCGGGCATTTTAAACCGCTTCAGGATTAATTCTGGTGTTGCGCTTGGTTTGTACGTGAACTGAGTATACTTCTTTGAGTCTGGCCCTTTCAGCACCGGCGGTGTACCGGGATTTGGTCCATGCGGGCGTTCACTTCCCTCATAAACTGTAAGAGCTCACTTTTGAAGGGATCGTTCTCGTTATTGTGACCTGAACCGCTCCCCCCGGCCCCATCGAAGCCAACCTCGCCCATCGGGGTGTTGTTGTCGACCCTCTGCGTTGTTTGATTTGCGGGAGCACGGGAGGAACTGGACCTCATCCATTCGCGTTATTGGAAGTACCTGACAACGCCTGCTTTAGTTCCGTCATAACCTTATCCTGCCGTGTGAGATGGCCTAGAATGACCTCTTGTTGCTCATGCACGACCCTTATCGCTTCAACAACATGCTCCTCTTCAGCATCATCGGGAGTCGCCTCCCGAACATGTCGCGAGTACCGCCTTCCGTGGACCGACGTGGCATCGTTTTCCTCATTGCGGGTATTAGTGATTGAATCCTCGTGTTGAGGCTGGTCTCCTTGGGTCTCAAGATTGTGTGTGTTGTTAATACCATTATCTATCATTTTCTGTGATTTTATACGATTGTCTAGTCCCCACGGTGGGCGCCAAACTGTTTACCCGTAAAACGGTATAGTCGAATTTATACGTGGTTTCTAGACAAGTGAATTAATTCGATACTGAAATAATACAAGAATTGACGAAATATGCAATACTTAGCCTTGAGATGAAGATGAAATAGCAGAAACAGTAGTTCCGGGAGCAAGGCTTCCGGGCACAACAGTAATGAAATCAAAAGGTAAGAAGGTAAAATTGTATAAAGCTTTGAATAGATTATATCGTAAGTTTGCTAGAAAATTCGTCTCCTCTGCAATGATAACAAAGCTCACTATTTATAGCTGCACCTAGGGAACAAGGTTCTAGGATCATGCCCTTCTTTAATGTCAATTATGAAGGCCATTGAAGAATGTGCAACAGCGAGCATGAATGACAAATTCTTTGTAACAGGCAATGTACTAAATGTTTTAGAATATTCTCCATTAGATGCTACCGGGTGACAGACATTTATTGCAAATTTATGAGCATCATTCTTTCCGGTAACAAATGGAACAGTTGCCTTCGGTCGTAGCTATCCTCTGTCCACGTGTCACTCTCTTATGCAATTACTCAACGTAGCATATTTTACCATATACGGTGTATATATCTTTTGCTTCCCTAGAAGTGGTTCTAGGAACACTCACTGTTATATAAAACTTGAGTTCTACATTTTGGAATGGGAAGTAGTACAGTGACAGCATTTTTTGCTATTTTAGGGATTTGGAGAGTAGTGCTATTCGCGTGAACTATGTCGATCGTAGAAAAGTACCATGCCAGTGCATTGGTTTATCAGAAATTAATAACTTGATGTCATGTTTTGTTCAGTAGTCGTCAAATGCTTTTTTGGGAATATTATTGGCTTCAATGTAGCTCAATATTGTAATGAAAGATCCATATTTCTACAACGTGGTTTTTGTATTGGTGCTTGATCACTTTTTGAGTTGACAGATAATAAAGAGTGTTGGTATGATACAAGATTTATTCTTCTGAATGGTGGAACAAAACTTTTCTCAAGAGGCTTTCTACATCTTTAAGAGACTGGAAATGGTAGACATCCACATGCATGATTGCTTCTCATCTTCGAAAAGGAGCTTGATAATCCCATTGTTAGTCTTCAAGCTCAGTAAGTAATTGTATTGAGCCTCGGGACTTTCTTTTGTGATGTTAATAAGCTTGTCTGGATGAGGTAAGGTTGTCAGTAACAGCAATTGTTTTTTCTTTTTGAATAAAACAAGAATGCTGTCTAAATAGGAGAAACTCCAAGTTTGAAGCTCCCACAGAGAAATAATAGAGAGTATAGATCAGGCATATCTCAAGTTCTAAATGTTGAAATAAAGGGTAAAAAGAATACTTCCTTCTTTTGAAGACTTACATTCTTTTGAAGTTCTTAGAGCTCCAAAGTACTTCCTTTTCAGGCTCAGCACGAGCTGATTTTGCTTCGAGTGTAGAGTCATCCATTTATCTTCTTTCCGTCCTGAGGTTTTATGTCTCAAAATGTCAATATCATGTATAGGAAGGCAGGATGTAGTGCCAACGGCATTTTCTATCTGCATCTCCAGATTCAAGGATTTTAAGGATTTTAAACATTTTCACTAAATTTAATTACTTTCATACCTGATGGCATTATTATCCAAATTCGGGTGCCTACTGTCAAAAAATCTGGGATCCTAGGGAAGGGATCAGTCTTTGCTCTTGATTTTAGAATTGCAGCACCTCTAAGACCTAGTAACAGAATATCAAGGTGCGATAATTTAGTAATTATACAGTTGAGAGCTCATGTACCATAAAAAACTGAATATTTTTGAGTTATCAGTTCCAAGCAATAGTATGGAAAGCTTTACAGGTTGCTGCTGTTGCTGTTACTGCAATCATATCCATTGGTGTTCTGATGGCTAGGCCAGAATTGACTGCAGAAGCAACTTTGGCTCGTCCTGCTCCCAGAGATTCTGCTGCCTCTGCACATACTGTAGTCATCAGAGCAGCAGCAGAAGCAACTACACTTCCCGTACCATGGCTCCATTCTCCTCCCGTTTCAGAATTTATGTGGTACCATTCTTGTGCTTCTGAGCTGCTGCTGCTGGCAAAGCCAGCAATTGCTGAAGCCAGCTGTGTGAGAGAAAGCGCAGCATGTAGTTGTGCTGTTTGAAGTCGGAGTCGCTCTTTCTTCTCTTGATGTGATCTAAAGAATTTTCCCAATGGCTTGCTTTTAAACCATTCCTTCATGTGATGCAAATCCAGCTAAGCAAACATTAATAGAAAAATGAGAGATGAAGCTGATTTTTCATGACCAAAAGAGAGGTGAACTGCAGGCTAAAAATGATATACTTGAAGAGTTTTATCTGTCTAAAAAAGTGACATTTTTCTCTAAGCATGTTTAAATAGTTTAGGATAAACTTGTTTGATGCAGCTAATTGAGAAAAGAGAAAGGGAATAGTGGCATGCTTTGGCAAGTTAGCTTCAATTTTTGTCCACGAACAAGTTAATCATAAATATTTTACAAGTTAGGCTTCATTGATATTCTGAACAGCACAGGAGTGTGATACCTCTTAGTGTTATCGATGTCCTTTGTTATGCTATTTACCTTTTTGTTCTCTATATCCTCAGTGGGAGGTCGTGGAAGATTGAAATACCTTGATATCCTCTTTGTTGGTTATAACTCGGCTGGTTACATCCTCATGTGTTTCCTCCTCTTTTCCTTCATGATCCTCTATGCCTCCTGTGTCTCTCAAGAAGGGATTCTGTACAAGTCAAGAAGTGTAGTGTTGAGCAGGCTATCTTTGTTCTTGTTATAGATTTCTTTCCTAATTTTCAACGAAATATAGTTTTTTATGCTTAACAATGGCCTATTAATAGATAAAAGGGTTGTTCATGCTGGCCTATTAGTTTGTGTTAATGCTGCTATTCACTTTTGCACATTATAAATGAACTCGGACTACGATTAGCAATCTGATCTCATTCTAAGATCTTTAATTCACGCGTCGTTGCAGTTTGGTGGTTTCTTACACTTGATGAAAACATTTGCAGGAGATTATTGGAAGATGGACTCCACGATCGACACAAGAACTCCATAGCATAAGTAGGGCTCCCAGGTATCTCTGGTGATTGACTGTAAGAGCTGAAAGGACTTTTAAGTGGCTCCAAACAACTTCTATTGCTTGTCAAAAGTGTGTTCTTCGACTTCTCATTCTTAAAACAGGGAAGAGAATGTCATTAGGCTGTCAACGTTTCTGCATGCACCCAATTTCAAGTATAAAGGGACAACTTACATTGTAGGAAAGTGAATTATGCTGAGCCATGAATTGAATCTCCTTTTTACTTGCAGCTGCTCAGGTAAGAAGTTTTCAGCAGTTATTAACAATGTGACCTGTAGATATAAAGCAGAAGCAAATGGTGAACAATCCCTGCAATCACAATTGAAGCTCCAGGTTTCTCTCTACTGTTCCTTGGAACTCAGGATTTACTGTATATAAGACACCAGCACGATGTTTGTCCGGTGGTGAACTTTAACAAGATTATGCAATATCTACAAAGAGTCAGTGTTCACGGGTCCCTGAGCATGAAAGACATTTCATTAGAATGGAAAAAGCTAAGTCAGAATCAGAGCTTATACTCATCTGCAGGAAAGGATTTGAACTGTTACTAAATGAAAGTGGATGAAGCTTACCTCAAGTAGAAGGTCCTCTGTATTCCTTGTCAAGATCAGATATTGCTAACAATAGTGGATGGAGATCATTTGATATAGAAGGTCATTATACAGGTTGCTAGTGGCACTTCTTGCCTAATAAATAGAACCAGCAAACATTCTATTAGAGGAAGGCATGTGGGATGGAATTTTAAAAAAAAGGGGGGAGGGAGGTGGACAGCGTAGTACACTAAGCTCCCGCTATGCGCAGGGTCCTGGGAAAGGGCCGGACCCTAAGTTGCGCGGACTCTTCGATTTTGGTGCCGTCCCCGTCCCGATACGAGACGGGGACAGGAGCGGGATACATCCCGGATTCGGTCAACTGACTTCAGACACTTTGACCGGAGTCCATCGATAAATTTGGGAGAAAAATTGGGATTTTGATTTTTCAAAATAAAAAATAAAACAGATTTAGGAGAATGAAAGAATAATGTCCATCTTGGAGAATGTAAGATTGAATTCTACAATATTCATGTAAGTTTTTCACAGAATATCTCTCAAAATTTACAATATTTTTATAGCTTTATTTTTTATTAACCGAATCCCCGCACCCGTATCCATATCCGGATCCGCACCCCCGAATCTTAAAATTTAGAATTTTGCCGAATCCGATACTCGGATCCGTCCCCGTATCGGATTCCCGCACCCGAGTCCGGGCAACTTAGGCCGGACCACAAGGGTCTATTGTACGTAGCCTTACCCTGCATTTTTGCAAGAGGTTGTTTTCACTGCTTGAACTCGTAATCTCATGGTCACATGACAACAACTTTACCAGTTACGCTAAGGCTCCCCTTCACATGTGGGATGAAATAGAAGAAAAAAAAATGTTCTTAGATGATGTCAGATGGACAGATGGGATACTAATTGATAGAATGTTGTCAAACTTGGAGGCAAGAAACACTTGGGAATGCTAAACAAAAATGGCATTTAGGACCACAATATGACGTTCGCATTATCAGTTTTAGTTGATGATTAATCACGAGATCTCCCTGTATTTGCCTAAGACTAATATCTATATCTTGTATCTATGTACCCACTTGAGTTTGTACAGTAGATTATTGGAGTTTGTAGACAACTACTACTTTTGGTTCTTGGAATGCTGGTATCACATGGCTACAGGTTTTGAAATTTATAGATGTAAACTGGTATCACATAGCTCTCGGGGTAATAAATGATTGTGTAAACTGTAAAGTATTGGCAAAATAAAAGAGGCTGCTACTACAGGTTTTAAAAGCAGACTCAAAAATTCTTTTGAGAAAAAGAAGGAAGACTGAACAAAGAAGCTGGAGGTTAATAATTCACATGAATAAAGTTACACATTAATATTATGTATGAAGGTAATTTCTTTCTCATCCTTTTTTAGTGTTTAAAACCACAATGACTTTTAATAAAGAGGAAGATTAGACTGGAAACTTCAACCACTTGGCAAATTACTTAATATTTCATGCAAGTCATTCTCAAAGAATTTGCTAGGATGCACTCTGCATAGTATGACAAGGCCATATTATCCAGCTAATGTTCTTTTAAAAACTTCTATGCTTTACAGCTTCATCGGAAACAAGTAAAAAAGTTAATGTACAGAAAGATACATAATCTTTGGGTAAGGAAATCTTTTTCTCTTGGATTCACAGCTCCTACAGGCTCTGAAAACATGCTGCAGAACAGAAACCAATACCTTGACAACTACACAAAACTTAATATAGTATATATAATCATCTCAAAACATCTTCAACTTCATAAGAATAGTTTTCATTCCAAGCCTGAACCTAGTTTCTGGTTGATAACATCTTCTTTACTGGCAGTAGAGCAATAAAGCACTGTGACACTGGACAGCAGAAAGAAGATCTCCTCAACCTAAAAGCAGGAACAGTTACATAACCTGCCTCAAAGAGCTGCTGCCTCATTTCTATCAGCTGCATTCCGTAAATTTTGCCTTCTCGCTGAGCTCTTGAAATGCATTTACAAGATTCTGAAGCCTTGCAACAAACTCGATCAGCAAGGAAGTAAATGTTGCCAGTGACAATGTACTAGCACTTTCAAATGTCCGTACTTCACGTTCATTCAAAATCACATCTCCAAGAACTGAAAGCCGTGAAGGCCACATCGTCTGCTGCTTGAACACATCTTCTGAGGAACCCCATTGTGAAGTAGAAAAGTTGACGCTTACATTTGGATTAAGAGTATCCATGTGCTTCAATGTGTGAGCAGACCTTAGATGAAGAGTCGCTTCACTAAGAGAGTTTATTAGCATGGGTTTAGGTTCATTGTCCTTCAGTTCTTGAATGCGTTCAGGATCTTCAAACTTCTTAGGTCTTTTTGAACTTTCCCAATTCTCTGCATTAACCAAAAGATAAGATTTCTGGTCAATCAACAGTTGAAGATTCTCAGCAGCCTCATGAACTTCTTCGAGAGGATCTNCAAAAGGATGACACTAGTGGACAAAAATCATCTCAACATTTTTAGGATAGTTATTTGCAAAAAAGAAAAATTGCATAAGCAATAAAAGAAGGGAAAGTTACAGCCAAAATGCAAGGGTACTCAGTTAAGCTGGCATTTAGAAATGATAACCGAATTGATAACCAAAGTTATCAAAGGTGAAAAGCTCCAATGACCATGGGGTATTAAGTACAAAGCGCAAATTAAGCATTGGCTTTAGTGAAGAAAGGCGCTAATGAAGAAAAAAGAAAAATTATATATGTAATGTAAGAAAAAAGTTCAACCATTTTAAATTTCGAGTTTGGATGTCAAGATGTAGTTCTCAGTTTTGAGTGACTGGTATTCTTATGCTAAATTTCTAATTTATTATTCCTCGTCACTAAAACATTCATTCATATCTTTTTTTTAATGTTTACGTATCACGTTGCTTTGCGGGCTCGATTCTCTCTATCTGCCCAAGATTCAAATAAAGTAACTTATTTATTACCATTTGTGTAATTCCATAAATAGCATTACACATATCCTTAAATTAAGGATTTGGTATAGTTGGCCGTGATAGTGTAGTGATTCTATCCCTCCCCTACATTTTCTTTTTTTTCTTCCACCTTAAGAGGTAAAAGACTCTATTTATATTCCAGCTAGTGCTCCCTCTTAAAGAGGTCCAACCTAAGCGTTGACTAACTTCAAGTTTTATGTGCACCTCGAGTGATATATGTATCTGAGATGGGCTTCTAAAGTAGCAAGTAATTTTTTAACTTATTATTGAACAATCCAGTGGCATGACATTAATCATTATGAATGGCACGAAAAAACTTATGGTCGATATTTGACTACTCTGTAAAATTATAAAAACTGGAGTAAACTCTGAATAATTTACGAAATAGCAGGCTGGAACTGCAGTTCCATGGTTGAGTTCTTAGCCCCAAATAGGTTAGTTAACAAATGAGACATGGCAACAATGTGAATATTTGGTGCTGACGAATCAGTTTAATTTTCATCTGGTAAAAAATTACAATAAATACTTCTGCGCGCCTCTTTCATGTTTGACCAAGAGAAAGAGTTAAAACCCCCTTGACAGATACTAACTTAAGCATAGTTCCTATGTATTTACTATTCCCTAATCTTGGTTACATGGAACTTTATAGGTCTAGTATGCTGATTACTTTAAGTACTTCTCTCCTATACATCTAAAATAATTCTATTCATTATTCATAAGCTGCCTAGTTCCATATCAAAGTAAAAAACGAAGAAAGAAAAAGTGGCAGATGTGAGATAGGCTTCAAATTTATGGAATAAAAAAAAAATCTGTGCTGCACATTGCTTTAGACTAAGTCAGGAAGAAAAATTAGAAAAAGTTATACCTGTATTTCTGAAAGAATACAGCCATGCATAGCCATGACCATGAAAGCACAATGCCTCAGTGCACCGCTGACTTTAACATATTCACCCCAAGGATAATTGAGCATTCTGTAACGGCCATGAGGGGGTTCCCACACAGCAAAACCTAACTGAACCAGGATTACCAAAATTAGCAACCCAAGAAAATAGGTGATGTTCCACCAAACCCACATGAATGTCCACATACAATTTTTTTTCTCTTTCCATCCAAAATAATGTAAAGCTCCACTATAAGTCACATGTGTGATACCTTTATTTTTCAATTTCTTTAATACACAAAAGTTACCAGCCTCCACACCATTTAATGTTGAACAAACACTTTCAGACTTTAATATAATATAGTGCAGAATAGGCCATTCAATTTGGAATGGAGGAAATGCCACATACTTAGGTTAAGCATCAATAGCAACATAGGTTTACCAGAGAATCTTCTTGGTTGGTGGACTCTACAGCAGTCCTATAGCCATTGTAGACAGGATCATCGGATGCCTGGTAAAGAAGAATTTTTGATGGTATCCTTTCATATTCAAGACATTGCAAATAGTCATTGACACAACCTGAAAAAGAAGCATTGCAAATATCAGCCGAGCATAGCATGTCTAGGTCATGTCCAACGACAATCTGAAGATAAGAGATTAAAGAATCTTCACCTTCCAAAGAAGTAGCGACACCCTTAAAATTTTTCGCTACCAACTTGTGCAAATCTTCACCAGCCCAAATGGGGTAGATGCAGACATTTATAAGCAAACAGACAGTAGCTCCAACCCCAATTAGCAACAATCGAGAAACAGCAGTCTGAACGAAATCTGAAGTCCCCGATACAAGCACTATACAATATGTCAACAAGAAGACTCGGAATCCATATTCATATTGCTTCATTGCTGGATACAGTTTCAAATAAGTCGCACAAAATCCTGAATGAAAGAGGAAAATGTAATGATTAGAGTAGTATAAAAGTGAATTTCCCCGGAAATATATATACACACATATTTCCACCCCAAAAAAGGATAAAGAGAGGGAGAGAGCAGTTATGGTAACGAGCGGGAGAGATTGAAGATCAGGATATCATACATGTATAAACCTTGGAACATATGTAGTAATTGGTTTTACTAGCTTTTGTCTCATGTAGTAGCCAAGCAAACTCTTCCCGTCAATGGCCCATTTAACTCTTATACAAGGTACAAAAGAAAGATGGTGATTGTTGCTGTGATGTTGATGCACAAGTTACGTAGAGGTGAGGAAAACTAAAAAACCTTTCCTTCACTTGGACCATTGTAAATGTGTGATTGTCTTCAAATCCAAATTTATGCAATGTTCTTCAGTAAGATATTGAACCTAAGCATTCTGCCAAGGGTACTGAAAAGATTTATTTTTCTTTTACTAAGTTGGAAGCCGAGGGGCACATATATATATATATATATATCAATAGTTTCACTCAATTCAAGAGTGGAGAATTATGCTTTGATCTACACAGTGAAAGTTGAAGCTGTAGTTGCTTCTTTGGTGTTTTAGGTGTCACTAATATAGGAGCTTATTTTGGGGAAATTTGAGGTCACATCCTTGGACTTCTTCCTTTTGTTCTCCAGTTACAGCTCATGTCACCCGGTTACCAGTCTGCAAGGCTCTCTATATATCTTTCCTTGCTCTATTTTTGCTCCTAATCACCTATATATCGAAATCCGTCTAACCAGGGTTGTTCATTGGTCGGTTTGGTACGGTTTTGAAATATTTCGGTTCGATATTTTCAGTATTCGGTTCCTTAAAATGCTATTCGGCATTCGGTTCGGTATGACCCAATTTTTATCTTTTCGGTTTCGGTTTATTCAGTTCAGTAACTTTGGTTTGTATTCGGCTTGGATAAAGAATTATAACTTTCTTTTTTGTTTTTAAGGGGCGGGTCAATGGCAAAACCGAAAGAAACCATAAGAAATCTCAACCAAATATGTATCAGGGAAATGTTTGTTGATAAAGTTCGCTTCAGTTTATACTTTGAACTATGAACGTAACTTCAAAGCACACAGATCACCAGAATCCTCCATTTCTCAAATTTGATGCGGGGTAGACACTAATAATATGAATCAAGCATTACTAATATGTTCTGTAACTTATGACCTGTCCGCTATTTTCCTTTCAGCCAAAGGCAAACAAATGCACTGCTGCACTCAGTACAGACTACAGAAATTGTTAACTTGATTGATTAAAAAGACACATAAAGAAATTATGGCAAAATTTATACAGTTACTTCACACTAGCAAGCTTCTCAAATTGTGCCTTTTAAACTATTGTTATAATCTAATACTATATGCGTATTGTGTATGTAAGTATGTATTTCGATATTTTTAAAAATAATTAACGAATAAGAAAATTCTAAAACCTTAAACCAAATAACATACCGAATTCGGAAGTATCAAACCGAAATTGGTCCATAATATACGAAATTGGTCCAATTTCGGTTCCATAATATACTAAACACCAAAATAGAAACCAAACCTGCAATAAATACGCTGATGACAATCACAATCTCTTGGCATTTTCCAGCCATAAGAGACAATTCAGCAATGCCCAACGCTAATCCTCCAGCAGAAAATGTCCCCAATGCCCTGTTAAATCCTTTACTGAGCGTCGCACCTACACATTTGATAAATTCCAAAATTAGCAATAAAAACGTAATAAAGCTGCAAACCAGAGGCACATAAAATAAAATAAAAACGAAAATTTTACATACCTATACTGAATTCAAAAACGACGACAACAGTGAGAATTGCCCAAATGGAGTGTTTACCAATGTAAGGCAAGGGTTCTTTGAAGAAAATAAGGATCGAAACAAGTGCAAGAGCAAAACCCACTTTAGCAGAAAATATAATTTTCCTAGGATCACTTCTACCCATTTTAACTGCTTTGGCTGCAACTTTTTTGACATCGTTACAAAACTCAGTAAGTCGATAGCGTAAACGTTCCAGAAAGTTCTCATTTCCTGTGAAAGATGCACCACCACCTACTCCCAATTCTGAATACCCTTTTCTTGGTAGTAATAATCTTTCTTTGTTTGTTTCAACAAAGCTTTGCTTCAATGAGCCAAGATATGCCATTTTCTGGTCTTTTTTTCGGATCAATTGTTACAAAATTTGAGGAAAGAGTTGCATGATTTTTATATTGGATGTTTTATAAGTATTGATTCTTTTTGGGGAAAAAAATTATTGGTGTGTGAGTTATGACTTTTGATCTGAATTCAACTAAATTATTGAGATTCCAACTTCCAAGTGCGTGTGCAGACGTGTGCTTGTCGTCAACTGGATCTCAAGATTGCAAGCTTTTGGTCTCTGATTTTTCACATTTTTCCTTTTTTTGGAAAAGGAGTATTTTTTTTCCCTCCTTTCTATTTTAGACTTTTCTTTTTCTTTTTTCTTTTCATTTATGGCTGGTAGAACGTTTTTCTAATGATTTTTCACAAAAATGGTCCCTCATGTTTAGTCCTATATAAGTTCACCAGACAATAGCAGTAAATAAAAAATAATGAAATTGGCACCTAAAATATTTTGCATCAGACACCAAAAATAACATAAACTGCAAAAAATCCACCCTCAAGGTGAGTTCCTGTTAATTTTTTTGTCCATAACTTTTATTAAATCTAACCGTAAGAGTTTATTAAAGACCAAAACTATTCATTTTTAACAAACTTAAAATACCAAAATTGATCAGAACTATATTCAAGCGATTACTTTAAACCTACCTCTAAATATAGGGGACCATTTCTATCATTTTCTCGAGTAGCATGGACTTAGTCGTTAGTTCCTTTTTTTAATAATTAAAAGGTCAAAAATATTGTAATTCTAGGAAGATTTTCTACTACTATTTATCCATTTGACTTTTTATAATCTTCTCTTAATTATGTCACGATAAGTGTAGTTCTACGACTGAATGTCAACTTTTGTCCCGTTAGGCATTCTATTGTCTCCTATTAATTACGCCAAAAAGATTAGCACCATAGAAGATTATAATTGAAAAAGTAATATAAATCAGAAGTAAGCGGATTTGAAATAACTATTAATTAAACTAAACGAATAATAGTAAGGTTTTGTGAGCCAATGAGCAACCGTCAGTAGCGATAAGGAAAATGAAAATGGAAATTATTTATGAAATTAACTTTACTTTATTTTGTAATAAAAAAATCATCATACTTTGCACATTGTAACTCAAAAATCACTCAACACATTTAGGTCATATTAAATATTATTTTTTATATTTTTTTAACTCAATCATTTAAACAATAAAAAAGTATCCATTTAAACCGTGACTCAACCCGCTTTTATTTTTGTTACAAAAAACGTAAATATTACTTTGCTGTTAATTATCTTGATTTTCAACATACTGGTTTAAGCAAAGTATTAAATCAGTTCGACTAAAAATGGCCGTCTAGTAACATTATCTTTACTATAAGCAATGTGCGTTCTTGTTCTAAAATATCGAGAATATTGTCTTTTAATTTACTCTTATATTAATATTTCCCAGTCAAAATTTCAAGCATAAATACTTTTTTTTATTTTTCCTTCCTCCTTTTTATTTTCTTCCACTTCAACGCTGCTAATTTTCTTGTTTCACTTTCAATTTTAACTCCTCTAGTTTGTTATGATTAATTCCTTATTCTCTATTTAATACTTTGCTTAAACCAATGTATACATTCAATATAACTATATTGAGAACTAATATGATACACTACAACAAAGTAATATTTATGTTTTTTATAACGGAAACAAGAGAAAATGGGTTGGGTCATGGAATGATCAAGTAATGATTTAAATGGATTTTTTGATTTTTTAAATGGTTGGGCTGAAAAGAAATATGAAAAATAATATTTAATAAAGTCCTAAAAGTGCTGAGTGACTTTTGAGTTATAATATATAAAGTATAATAACTTTTCGGTTATAAAACAAAGTAAAGTGACATTCATAGATAATTTCTATTAATTCAGTGACGTTACTAAAAATGCACTCTAGAACGATGATGTTATTTATTTGAGAATAATATCTAAGTAAGAGTATTATCTAGTTGGTCAACTCTTCTAATTCCATTTCTAACCGACAGTTAGGCCGGTTGCTCTTACAAAGTTGCACGTGTTTTTCGGTTTCTCTATTAATCAATAACTTAAAGGATATTCTTCAACCAAAAGAAATACTATTTGTGGTTTTAATACCCCAAAGTAAACTTTTGACAATTTAGATAGTTGATACACTATGTCCAGAAAGAGGAACTGGACCATTTGCTTCTACAAGTTGCAATACCCCTATAGGCACGTTTTCCCCCTTCACTATTTCGTAGGCCCTACTTGAAAATTACTCTTTTCGATTTACAATAAGTGACTATTTTATTTTTGGCGCACACATTAAGGAAATATGAACTCTTAAAAAAATATATTCACTAAATTAATCTTAATTAATTGTTACCTTAACACATTGAAATATATAAATAAGAGCAAATTTTGAAAAAATAAAATTAATTCCTTTGAGTTTATTTAATCTAATATAACTTTGAACATTAGTTAAATTGACATTTGAGAGTATCTAATTTTCTTATGTTTTGGGTTGAACATCTTAGTAGTTAAAGGCTTAATTTGAACACAATGCATTTGAAATTATGAGTTTAAAATTTAATATTTATTGAAAGTTTAGTAGCTTTATATCATACTATATTATAAGTGTGAAAACTTTTAGGTTAAGTTATTTTACTAAAATATTCTTCAAAAGCTGAATGACTAAATTACCCTCTACTTAATGATTTATTTATTAATTTAATTTATTTTTATTATTATTATTATTATTATTATTATTATTATTATTATTATTATTATTATTATTATTATTATTATATATGCAATATTATGAAGAACTCTATAGTCATTTTTTCCCCTTCTTTCCGTTGTCTAATATATCAATAGTTACTTCTTTACTACTACCTTTTAATTAGCCTCCCACTCCTCTTCCTCTTTAATTTTCTTAATTAGCTTCCATAACCCATCAAATTCCTACGTCAAGTTATTATCCACAGTACTTCAACATTTGTAAGTAGCAACAGATGTGTACGCAAGGAACAAAAATCAAATAACGAAAGCGGAGAATTGGATGATCGATAACATTCTATATGAGATACAAAGTGTTTTTAATATATCTGAAACTCAAAACATGAAATGGAGTCTTCAAACGTCTGTATTATTTATGGGTTTGTTGTACTTCTTTTGCTCTATTTTTAGTATTTTAAATTTTCTCTGAATGTTTAATTAGGTAGAATATTGAGATGCTTGCACTTACAGTTATATCATGTGTATCCACTATTTTTGATGATGACAATACTTGGTCTTGGTATGTTTATCATGGCTAACATTTACAAAGTCGTACTAACAACTAGCCTTTGCAGTTATTATAAAAAATTGATTGTTAAAACTGAATTGCTCACAAAATGCAGGTATGTTCATGTCATCATTGCTTGTGTGGAAAATAATTATATGAAATTTCAAAATATAAATATCATGGGATGGGAAAACGTTTATTCCGTCCTATTTCTCCCCCATCAGTAGCTAGCATTTGTGTTTGTTAATTGTATTTATGTTGACGCTGACACATTTCTCTTTCTTATCTGATGTTCAAGTTGTTATTTTCTCAAACACTATGTTTGTTTATATCATTTTTCTCTATATGTGTTTATTTGAGATCATTCGTTTTATTTTTAAACTAAGACAAATCGTTATAACCCATTTCAAATTGAGTATAGAATTATATGAAATTTGAATTTATCCCTCTAAGTTACCTAGCAAGAGTTGTAAACAGTTTGTGCTGTTTTTGTCCCTAATATATGTGGCTATCACATTTTGATGTTTAATATTCTTTTATGAAGGTTTGATTTCCTTTGTTTTTTGGTACTAATCTTCCAATTTATATTGTTTGTATTTATTGACGTGAGATACACGTACAACGTACGTGTCCAAAAAGTATATATATATATNTTTTATTTTCCTTAAATACCCCTAACATCATGTTATCAATGCATAAGTGAAATGGATGTTTTTGTCATTCTACCCAATTTGATTTCCCCCATTTCTCTCTTACCTTCTGCTCTCCCCCGTCTCTGCCAACTGCAAACTGGGTGGGCATGAGTCTTTTAATTTCTGTTTGTTATAATTTTGCTTTCTATCCAACTACTCCTCTCTTGATAGTTTCTACAAGTTAAATACTGAAATCTTCTCCCTATATATTTGTTGTGAATGACTTATATTTCCTAGCATTTGTTGTTAAGCTTTATGGAGTATAAAAGACATGAAAAATTAAAATCAATATAAAAGTCAAACCATTACTCCATTGATAGGAGCAATTTACAGAACTGGTGAAAATATTGTAGTAGAAATTCTTGAGTCTTTCTCATTTTTAGTTTGTTTTAAGGATAAATACTGGAAAAGTAAAATGTGTACAACTGCTAACCGAAAGGAGGAGTCGCCGGAAAAAGAAATAGAGGTGAACAGAGACCGGAAATAAGAAATAGGGAGGGAATTCGCCGGTGGAGAATTTTAGAAAGAAAAATGTTGCTGGTGGAGAAGAACAAAAGAAGCGCCTTTACTGTGAAGGATGAGGGTTTTTGTTTTTCTTGTGTGGAATGACAAAAAAGTCCCTGATATTGAAATAATGGTAATGTTTTTAGAAAGGACAAAAAAAAATGAAAGCAAAGTTGTATACAATGCTTACCTACTATAATTATATATATATATATGTATGATGCATATAGGGAAATATTTTTCTCTAGGTCGCTGGGCGACTTAAAGTTTAAAAAATCTTCAAAATTTTTGTTTAAAAAAAACAGGTCATGATTACAGACGACTACAGTCGAAAAATTTACAATTTAATGAACAAATAAAAGAAGAAAATCAGGTCGCTGATTACATAGGCCACCTATAGTTTAAAATTTTATGCTATTTAAATAAAAAGTGGTTAGACATAGGCGAATCAGTCTAGAGGTATTATCAGATGTATACTTGTAAATAATCTTTTGCATCGAGAGAAATCATAGGCTATATGTTATATTCACTTTATACAAGAGGGTACTTTTGTCACTGATGTAATAAGTAAGAGATATAGTTGTCAATTACCATATTGCTAATAACAGATTAGTTAGTCGGTTAGGTGGAAGGTCAGTCTGGTATTAGTTTATTAAAGCAATTAACCGATTGGATACATGGTATATAGGGGATGGATTGTACCAATTAGGGGTTATGAAAATAAAGTCAATCTTCTTTCTCTTCTCTGAACTCTCAATTTACTCTCTGCAAATACTTGTTCAGAA